GACACCGAAGATAAGAGAGTGAGGATTGACAATGGTGAACGCTTGGAAATCAAGGGAAAAAATACAGTAGCTATAACAAGCTATGAAGGTACAAAATTTATTCCGGATGTTTTATTTGTGCCTAAAATTGATCAAAATCTGTTAAGCGTTGGTCAGTTACTTGATAAAGGCTATAAAGTGTTGTTTGGGAATAAGCAATGCTTGATCAAAGATGCTAGTGGCAAAGACTTGTTCAATGTCAAAATGGAAGGAAAAAGCTTTGCTCTAAATCCGACGGCCTTGCCGTACTTGTAATTTTGGGAAGCAACATAGGCAACCCTTTCCTAAACAGGCATGGAGAGCCTCGGAAAAACTGCAGCTTGTTCATACTGAGCTTTGTGGTCCTCAGCAAACACCATCATTAAATGGTAATCTTTATTACATTGCTTTTATTAATGATCTAACAAGATTGTGTTGGATATTCTTGCTGAAGTAAAAGTCAAAAGTTGCGGGTGTATTTTGGAAATTCAAAGCCAAAGTTGAAATGAAGGTGCATGCTTGATTCAGACCATAAGATCAAATAATAGCAAGGATGTACTTCAGAAACTTTTAATAGGTTTTGTGAAGAGGCTGGAATTGGAATTGAACATCAATTGATAACACTATACACTCAACAAAATGGCGTCAGTGAAAGGAGGAATAGATTCATAATGGAGATGACGAGATGCATGCTTCATGAGAAGGATCTTCCAAAATGTTTTTGGGGAAAAGCAGCAAACACTATTATGTGCTTGCAAAATCAAATTTCAACAAAAGCTGTGAAGGACCCGACACCAGTGGAAGTTTGGTATGGTTACAAACATTCGTTAAAGTTCCTTAGAGTATTTGGGTGTCCTTGCTTCACTTACATTCCACAGGTCAAGCGTGATAAACTTGACAAAAAGTCAGAAGTTGGCATCTTTGTTGGTATGTTAGAAGAAGTCTGAAGATGAACGACTAAAATTGTCTGAAGATGAACAACAAGATGCTTTGGTTGATGATGCATGGTGTCGAGTAAACGACAAGCAACAACAAGTGAAGGAAGATGGATTGTTCACGTCCTCGAGCACTCGTGCAGCGTACATCCCTCAACCAAGGGGATATATAGCAATATATGGCACCTTTAACACAGTTTTTTTCCTTCAAAAACCCTAATCTCAGCTTTCAAAGTTTTTCATTTTTGGATTCCAAGTGTTACACGGTTGTAATGGATTTGAACTTTGGACATTTTTAAAAGGAATTACGTGACAATTATTGTAAGTTACGCGGACTATAATACAAACATTAACCCTCTACTCTAATTAGCATTAACATAAATAAGTAGATGAGAAGGGTTGATGGGCATGCATTAAGATAAATAAAAATGGTTGTGTTGTGTTGGGAAGGGTGTAAGAAAGAAGCACAAATATGGAGAAAGGGATGAAGAAATTAAACAACAAAAGCTTAAAAAGGTAAAGTAAAGTAAAGTATGGAGATTGCAAAGCAGCAAAAAGTGAAGAGAGTTGAAAAAACAAATCCTTGGACCAAATAGAGTTATAGGATTAAAAAATGGTCCAAACCCTATTCATTCATTCATACCCATTCAAGGAGGAGGAGAAGGAGGGTGGTGACCAAAAAGGAAAGCCTTAATAAACAAAGACAAGGAACTGTCATACTCATAACTCATTAACCATACCAAAATGCGAGCTTCAACGCATTTAATAACCCTAAACCCTTCCCCCCTCCAAAAAAAAAAAGAAAAAACTTCAAATTTTGATCCAAAAAGTAGTGGGGTTTTCAGGGAATTAGGGTTTCTTTTTCTCTCTTCCTTGATGGATATGGGAGGAACATGAAGGGTCACTTTCCACCCAAGCTTTTGTATATACATATATATTTTCAACGCTTTGCACTGTCATTGTTCAAGGCTCCAGCCAAGCCCCCTCCCCCTACCTGCCTGCCTACGCTACCCAGTCCCCCACCACCTTTTTCTTCTCGAGATTAATATTAACATGAAAGCTCGTGGTTTATCCTACATGGTTGATACAGGAACAGAATCAAAGTTCGTTGGTTGGAAATAAAGAAATAAAGCAATGTGCAGCAGAAAGTATTTAATGATCACACAAATCAATAAATGAATAACAAACGGCTGACATATCTTAATTTTATCTTCTTTTTTTTTTCTGTGGCTTGTTTGTTATTCATTTATCCAGTTTTGTGGTCAATAAATACATATCTGATGCATCACTGCTGCCTACGTTTTGTACAACATTGCCATTTTCGCTTTTCTAATTTGCTTCCTCTTCAAATGTCAACTCAGTTGAGATGCCATATTATCACATACCATCATTACGGGTATTTATATTATATCCGGTGTTGGATTGAGTTGAAATATTTTTTAGACTTAACTAAATTGTTCCGGTGGTAAATTTTTCGACTCAAACCATTTTTATTAAGAGATGAACCTAATTCAACTATACATTTCTTTAGGTCGGTGGTCGTTTATTCAAATTTTTATTTATAAAATATTAGTTCATAATAACTTTCCACTTCCCCACTAAAATTTAATATATATTTTTTTAAATAGTTAAAAATTATTTTTAAGAGTAATAATAAAAAATAGTTATAAAATAAAATAAATATATGTATATATAATTATATGATAAGTAAAATATATATTTTAAAATTAACAATAATATTAGTTTGGTTCGAACCAATGAACTACTTTAATTCATAAAATTTTCATTTATTGGAATTTAACTCGACGTAATAAGTTCCTAATTACACGTATAGTATATTTATTTATTTCTAATTTCAATTTATTTTATCTCTAATGTAATTTAAAATTTTAATTTTATCTTCACTCTAAGGGGAAATCGATTCTAAATAAATTATTCACAAGTCTCTAACCCTAATTTCAATTTTAATTTTATCTCTTCACCTTTTACCGGTAAAAAAAAATAATTTTGGCTGGCAGATTTCACATTAATTGGAGAGAAAAGCGAATCATTTCTTATCAGAACGTACAAACATATTTTAAACCATCAAAACAGACAATATTTTGCTAGCAGTGAACTTGAACTTCACGACAAACTCTTAAAAGAAATTGTAGGGCATCATTTTTCCCCACTTGCACCACGACACAATCTCCTTTTACAATATAAACGCGCATCACAAGTTCAAATCTCTTTTCTATCTTTACGAAACAAAAGAATGGCTAAAATTTATGGAGAAAATAATTATGATTATAAGATGGGAAAGAAAGCGAGTTTTGTATAAAAGGAAGAGGGAAGAAGAAGAAATGAAATTGTGTTTGTGAATGGAAACCAATGATTTGGGTATCACATGCTAAGCTCCTCCAAAGTCCACAAAAGCTGCTACAACAAGTTTGGGTATAAACTCCATTAATAAATACACAACAATTGGCCTTAAATCCATTTTTTTTGTTTGGAAAGTGTGTGGTTTTTGTTTTGGGGTTTCTTCGGTCTCTTTCAAAATCAATGATTTTTCCCTCAAAGCTGACAGAGATATGGTCTCTTTGGGACACACATTATCTCTCTCTTTTTGCTTCCTATAATGAACTTTTGGCTAACCATATCATCCTGAAAGTGGCATTGCAGCCTCACCCACACCCACCGCCACCGCACCCACGGCCACAGCTGCCTCAGGCTAAGTTTAGGTTTTTTTTGCTTCTAATAGTTGAATTCTGTAGGGTGGAATAAGAATCTTTAGGTGATTAAGGTAAGTAAATGAAGTATCGATTAAAGGTGAATCTTGAGATGTGATTGTGAATAATATCGTCCTTGCATTAATTATGATATTTTGTCACACCCCACTTTATATTATCACACTACTTGTTCCAAACCATGGAGAAATCAACAAGTAATCAAAATGTCCCCCCCTTCAAACCAAAAGGGAAAAAAAATAATAATAATTTAATGATAAGAAGGAATGTTATTGCCGCAAACTGAAATTTTGAAGAATCAAATTCCATTATAAAAAGATGTATAGATTAGATCGAATGTTCTAGTTGATATCCAAAATGACCAAAATACCCTTATACGTTTTAGCTCAACGACAACCATTATCATCTACAATCAGAGATTTGCATATTACACTGCCACTTACACCGGCAATCATAGCTAGCAACCACTCTCAAAATTTCATGATATATAAAAATGACAACAATACCCTTATATGTTTCAGCTCAACGACAACCATTGTTACACTACCTCTATTGTTACACTACCTCTGAGAGTTTCTTAGAGCGACTACTAATGACTCCTCTCATAAGTGGTAAGTGATAGTTAGCCGATTATAATTTTTTTTGGATATAAATTTAAACTTATAAGTTAATAGTAGAGTATTGATTTACGCATATATAAGGCCTAAATTGAACGTAATTTATTTAAAAATCATTACATTGAAACAAAAGGAAACCTAAAAGGCAATTAGCTAGATTAGTACAGTACCGTTGATGATGATGATGAAGAAGAAGAAGAAAGCTACAAAATCTAATAATTAATTCCCACCATAATGAACAATAGAACGGAAGGAATTAATCAATCCCCAACTATATACAACACACCCATTATGCATACATAATAATCAATGCCAAATCAAGTCCCAACTTGCAAATTTCCAGATACAAACAACAAAATAATTCAAACATGCATTCAATATTTCCTCCCAAGAAACATATAACCTCATAGCTTAATAATTTTAATGCAATAATAATGAACATAGTCCCAAGAACCCAACCGTTTTTTTAGTTCAACGGCCAAAAATCGAACATCGGTTCGAAAGGAAAACGAATCATTCTTTATAAGAGTGTGGAACCGTGAAGCTGACGATGATAAGTAATAGACCAAAATAGAAACTATCTACTAGCAATGGACTTGAGATGTTATGCTAAACGTCATGGCATTGCATGCAAATAAGCAAGAGGGAAAGAAGAGCAGGGCATGCCCAAGGAAGCAGTGACAAGAACAACACTTAGCTGCCTCTACTAATTAATCCCATACCTCATTCATTCATTCATTCACAGAATCCAACTATTATATATATATATATATATATATATATATAAAATGTTGTGATTTGATTGGAAATTGTCATCTATTTTGGTTTGATTTGGTTTGAAATTGGAGATACATAATAAATTTGGAACCTCAAAGATATGAAGTTTACCTGTAAACAAGAGAAGTCAATTGGAAGGAGCGGTGGTTTTGGGGTTTGAATTAGAAGAGGAAGACAGTAATAAGTCACATTCATCAGAAGAAGATGACATTATTGGGCACTCCATCTCCATATTTACACCAAAAAGCCTCAGCCTTGATCTCTTCACCGGCGTATCTTCTTCGCTGTAACTCTCTTGGACCGCCATCGAACCACCGCCACCGCCACTACTCATATACTCCGGCTGCATCTCATTCTTCCCCTCCAAACCATCCCCTAATCTTGGGGCTCTCCCAAAAAACACCATTTCTGATGACGATGATGATTCAACACTCCCATATCCGTAAGGACAATACCCTCTATTCCTATCATACATAGCGTTAATGTTGCTGTTGTTGTTGCTGTTATTGTTTATTCGCGACATGTGTGTGTGGTCCTGCGGTGCTACGGTAGCTGGATGATGATGATACCCAGTTGCTGTTACGCCGAGTGGTTGCCATACTAATGACCCCCAAGCGGTAGCGGTGGTGGGCATGACGATGCTTGGTCGGATGCCGATGGGATGGTGGTGGTGGTGGTGGTGGTGGTCAATTGGAAGCTCCGGGCGACGACGCCAGTCAATGTAAAGACGATCTCTTCCAATTTCACCAACTCCACGTTGAAACGAAACGACATCACCGGCGTCGAGACGCTTCTCTTTAACGAATCGACTCCAACCTTTAGTCATAACATAACTCTGGCTACTATTCCAGTAAGAGTAACGAAACCGCCACGATATCCCGTGGCGATCTTCGAAATTTAAAAGCAAACCCTTTTCATTTGTTGATGAATCTAATGGGAAAAACCTCTCAGCATGTTGCTTTGGAATCACTAACCGATTCAATTTCCCAACATCACTCGGCGTCACCACTTTGTCGAACATATGTTCCCTCTCAACCTCTCCTCCACCGCCACCACCACCACCACCGTCGAAATCCACGGCGGCGGAACTAGCTTCCTCCGCCGGCTCCAAATTCAGGCCATTTCTCGAGCGAAGATGGTGATTTTGGAGTGAATTGAACCCAAAATCCATCCTTTAACAAAACCCAATTCGAAATTTTGGATTTTGAAGATCTAAAGGATGGTGGGTATGTTTAGGGTTGGAAAAAAATGTACTAATTTGAAGAACAAATTGAAAAGCACCGACGTTAAAGAAAAAAAAAAAAAAAATCCAAAATGATGAACTAGTTTGCAAGTAAGCAAGTAAATGAGTAACCAAAAGAAAACAAAAAAAGAAAAAAAAAAATTGGAAAAGAGTTGAAAATAAGAAGGAAAAGGAAGGGTTTTTGGAGTGATTGGTCCCTCATAACTCATAGGGAATAGGGAATAGGGAATAGGGACCCCATGAATTATCTATCTGCTTACGCCTCTCATGTGACCCTGTCCTTCTCCCAATTTATATTCTTTTTATTTTTAAATATCACCCTTTTTATTATTTTATTTTTTTTAGGTTAATTTAAATACAAACTCCTAAACTCTATACCCATTTGCGTCAAATTTTTAAAAATATATATATATATATTAAGAGCTTTGATTCTGTGTGGACGCACGTATCATGTTGCTTGCCGACCATTGGTGTCTTGACAAATCCAAATGTTTGACTTTTTTGCTTTCTGAATTAACCATGTTTTAAATACTTACTGTGTTTTCTTTTTTTCAATTATTATAATTTAAAATTGTTATTAATATTTCACATAAAAGTAATAATAATAACACTTTGTGGAGGAAGAAATTTAATATTTATAATTTATTTTTGGTTTTTGGTTTTCAAATCTTGAAAAGATCTCTAGAATATACCCTACAAAATATTGGTCCAGAGTTTTGCCGACCACAATTTTTAAATCATTTAATATTATAATTCAAATATTAAAGATAGAGACTTTTGCCTAATCAAAAAGCTACAAATTCAACTACATTTCAGTCGAATAATTTACAACTTAAATACCAAAGTTGCACTCAAAATAATAAAATAAAAATAAATATGCACAAATAAATTTATTATTATGTTTTAATTTATTGATATAAAAAAAATTATATTAATAAAGTTGACTTACTAAGTAAGTCAACCTTAATTAGTATTAAAATTTTCAACCCAGCCTAAATTAATATTTTTAAATAAAAAATTTTTGAAAACTACACCGTCCAAAAAATAAGACACACATAAATGTATAAGATAAAACTTTATAAAAAAGACAAAAATAAATATAAAAGATAAGATAAGTGGATAGGACCACAAATTAATGCTTATGACATTAGAAAAATTAGTATAATAATTAACTTATAATTAAGTATTCAATAAGTTTATAAATTAATATCAGTTTTTTTTTTTTTAATGAAATTAAAATAAATAAAAAGCACATTCCCCACATGTGACGGTCTTGTCCCCTTCAAAGTTTCTATCCACCGCGCTTTCTAATTTCGATTTCTATATAAACTTTCTTTTTTTTCCTTTCATTTTTTTAATTTTATTTTCATATCGAGTATCTATCAACATATCAATATTTTCGTCCGTATTTTCATATTTTCAAAGATTTTAAAACGACACATTTGTATTGTAAAAATATCGACAAAATATTAATAAAATATTTATTTATGATTTTTGAATAAATATTAAATGGACAAAAATATTTAGAGTAAAAGTTTTGTGAGTACGTGTGAATTAGTGGTGAATTTTTATTCAAATTAGGAATTTTTTTTCTTTTTTTAATTTATTTAAAATTTAAATTTTAGAATTATGTGGCGATGAATAAAGTTTTAATTTTATTAATAAATTTTGATATTAATACACTCAAAAGTAAAGGGAGTAGATGAAAAATTGAAAAGTAAAAGGGACCATTTTGAAAACAAAATTAAAATGGAACTAACTGGAACGATAAAGATTGAATTGATAAGGAGACGGAAGAGGTAAGATGATTAGGCATAGATTGGGGTTGGAGGGGGCAATGTGGGGCATAAGTAACATAAGAATGATGAATCAAGCAATGTGCTAGAAAGAAATAGCATGGCGTGCGGTGTCCTAATTTAATGGTACCCCCCCCTACCCCACGCCCTTTCAAACCCCTTTCCCCTCCTTTGCCAGTTTGCCTAACCCCATCCCCATGCCACTTTCTCTCATGCTCCCTACCTAATTTTCTCTCTCTTTCTATCCTACATTCTTTCCCTTATGGAGGTCCTACATTTTTTATAACCGCCTAAAAATTTATTCCTGGTAGATGGGTTTTAAAATGTGAGACCGACGACGACATGTAACTGTCTAAAACGAACAATATCTACTAACGAACGAGCATGGACTGTTACAAATTGTATTAGAGTTAGTCACCTTGTGGTGTGTCAGTAAGGATGTTAGGCCCTTATGGAAGTGTGGATTGTGAGATCTCATTTCCTTGTAAGGGTGTGGAAACTTCTCCCTAGTAGACACGCTTTAAAATCATGAGGTTGACAACAATACGTAATGAGTCAAAGTAGCCAAGGTTTGCTTTACTGAGTAATGTGTTAGCAAGGACGCTAATCCCCTGAGGGGAATGCATTGTGAGATCTCAGATTTCTTATAAGAGTGTAGAAAGCTCTTCGCTTGGACTATTACAAGTGAGTGTGTTAATGAGAACGTTGGGCCTTTAAGGAAAGATGAATTTTAAGATCCTACGATATTTTTAAGAGTGTGGAAAAACAGGTCAAAACAGAATGACCCAAATGAACAACATTGGCTAGAATGTTAGGGTATGGTTACTTTTTACACCCACCCGGCCTAAATTTAGTTGGGAAGTAAGGACCAAATAGGTAAATGGAGTTTATATTGGTAGTTTTGGAAGAAGGAAAAGGACCATTTGGACCATCTTCTACTACACTGCACCCTCCCCCCTACACTTGGCGGCTATCTTGTCTTCTTCTTCCTCCTCCTTTTTTTTTTTTTTTTTTTTTTTTTTTTTTTTTTTTTTTTTTTTTTTTATTAATTAAATAAACTGACAAATGTTTGTAAAGGAAGAAAAAAATAAATGGAATGTACTATGTTTGGTAATATTTATTTCCTAATTATTCAAGCATTCATTTTATTACTATTTCATTTCCTTACTTATTTCTTATTGGATGCTACCATATCTTTAATTATTTAAAATGTTAATTAAAACAGAAAAGAATAGTTTGGACCACTAGAGCGCCTTAATTGTCTCTGTTAATCATTTATTCGTCAACTGTTTTTTTTTTTTTTTAATTTAACAAAGAAATGAGTTTTTATTTATTTATCTCCCTTTCTCCCAGGTCGTCAATTTCACTATTTTCCCCCCAATTTTTTTATAAAAAATATTTAAAAATATTTAAAACCGTTAATACTTTATTTTAAAAAATATTTCTTAATATATTTTTTAAAAATTTTGAAAAATACAGTTAATATTACTATTCTTTATCTTTATAAAAAAAAAAATATATATAGATAGATTATCTCCGAACTTTTTAATATTATTTTTCAAAGTTTAGAGTATTTTTCAAAGTAATTGAAAGTTTATATTCAAATTTTGAAAGTATTTGTTCAGATAAAAATATTTTTAAGACTATTTTTATTAATTTAGCTTTTAAAAAATTCCATTCATTCGTGATTTAATCTATATTTTTATAAAAATTATAAAAAAATTATTATTTTTTTTTTTGGAAAAGTAGACCAATCATATGATTTCAACAAATAGAATAATGATTAAAATTTATAATCTACGAAATTAACTTTAATCTGCTTATTAAAAGGGATATAATTTAATAATAATCTAAGAATTTCAAATCCAGTAATGTTTAGGTTCATGAAAAAAAAAACAAAAGTATTTAATAATCTTTAATAATAAAAAAATGGGTTCAGAGATTCAGCTTGAATATTTATTTATAATTATACACCTAAAAAGTGGTTGGTTTTCAACTCTACCACCAAACCTATTTCAAAATTTTTAATGTCTTTAATTAATTATTATAATTTTATTTTGTTCTTTTTAAGTCCAAATAGGGGACATCAAATTTATGATGTTTTAGTATAAATAATTTAAAACCATCTTAATAATTTATACTATTTATTCCGTGACTCAATTATAAAAATTGAAAGGCTTGTGTTTGACTTCAAATTATTCTACTTTTAAATATTTATTTTAAAATCTTTTGTTTTACCTTTGCATTATTATGTAGAATTTAAATAGAAATGTTGATGGGAGTGTTGAATTTTTAAATGGCCCGATTTTTAGTTGAGATATATTATACATTGACATGAATATACACGTTCGAAATCAGTCATCCATCTGTTAAGTTGTTGATAACATTAACCAATTTGAACATAGATTAACCGGTTAAAATATACTCTTGACAAAAAAAAAAAAAAAAGATTTAAACTCAATCCGTGGGGTATATACACGAATGAACAAACTCATAAAGTTCCAAATAGAAATAAAAATTTAAGGCTAATGAAATTAATGTAGAAAATGAGAGAGTTTGAGGAATTGGGTGGTGGCTAAAGCTTATAGCTTCACCAGGGATTTTAAAGAACATCATAATTGTCCCTACCATCAACATTAAATCGTAGGTAGTTGGATACATATATATATATATGGCATGGACTATATATAAGTCTCGAATAATTTATTGGATAAATTAATAAGTCGAGCGTTTCTGGCCCACCGACAGAAATCGATAAGGTCTTAGTCACAACCTACTAATGCTTAAGTTCAATTAAAGAGCGTTTTTAAGAGTAAAATTTCGTTCTAATTTTTAAAAATAGTTGGATTTTTTTACGAAGAGACTTCAAGTTGGGCTTTGAACACAACACCCAGCTTGAAAGCCCCCAAACAACAACAACAGGACCAATTCAAAGCCCTAAACCCATTTAAAAGTCATCTATTCGTCTTCCACCATGAATCTAGAGACGACTTTAAGAGCATGGCTCTAGTACTATTAATATGTTTTTAGTTCTTTCAAAATGTCTCGTTCCAATAGAGATAATGTCATCTACTTATATGCCTATGATCTTTTCTTAAGATTTCAATCCGGTGGGAGAGCTCAGAAGCAAGTAGTCGAAGTTGGTGTGAGTAGTGGAGACAATGAGAGTTCGTGTTGTATTGCCGTAAGCCCGAGCCATCTCCTCAGTGGTGTCAAACGTGCTTCAGACCCATCTACCAGAGGGCCTCGAGCGAACTCCTACCTAGCCATGGTGGCTTCTTGATGATGCCTTGCATCTCCCCATGGGCATGGGGGCTCAAATGTGGAGCTTCAATTTGGGTTATAGTGGCAAGAAAATGTGAATATGAGGAGAATTTTCATTTATAATATTAGAGTTGACTCCAAGTTTCAGGCATGCTTGTTTGTATTGAAAACTGTTTTTTTTTTTAAAGCTTAATTTAAAGGGCCTTGGATCAGCCCAAGTTATGATGATGAAGGAGAAGTGACGTGTAAATTTAAGGCTAAATTATTAATTTTTAGTGTTTAAAGCTTGACTTTTAATTCGTTATATTAAAAAATAATTTTAAAAGTATATTTTTCATTAAAATAACAAATAAAACGTGATTTTATTTATTGTTATTACCATTTATTTCATTTTTTTTTAAATATTGGTAAATACTATCATAATTTCATATAAATAAATAATATATATTTTCAGTTTTGTATTACCTCTAACAATTTTCCTGCATCATTAATTAATTTATTTTTAATAAATAGAATTATTAAAATAAATTTGTATTTTCTTATAAATAAATGGTAAACAATCTACCTAGCAATCAATATTAATAATTGAGAGATTTAATAATATTGTACCAACTTTAAATGATAAATAATTAGTACCAACAATTTGAAGAATTAATTATATGTTATATTTTAAAATTAAATATAATCCATTTATTTTACTTCTTACCACATTAACTCTCACCATTTTTAAAAAATTTAAAAATAATTGATAGATTAAAATAAAAAAGTCAACAAAACTAGGAGCCTGTCTCAAATCGATATCCTTAATGTATGTTTAAAGGTGTTTGGTTTTTTGAATTAATAGTTGAATTAACCATAATTGTTTAGTGAATCTCTAAATATAACATGATTCGTAGTTTAGATGTTACTCATGGGTAATTAAAATAATTTTTTACATTTTAATTACCATAATAAAATTAAGGCTTTAATAAATTATGGATTGATTTTGTGTGGAATAAATTTATTAGCTTTTGAACATTAATAAACAATTAAATATCTCAATTCAATTAGATTTTTAATAAATTTTAAAGATTTAAAATGAAAGATAGTAATGTTAATTAAAAGAAAACGCAGGATTAAAGTTTTATTGAATATCATTAAACCTTGAAAATTTTAATTTGATTGGAATAAAAATGTAAAAAAATAATAAAAGAATATCCTCACTAATAATTTGAAGTAATTTAGAAGTAAAACGAGATTAGGGGAAGCAAAACGGTGTGGTAAGAGGATTAGTTTTGAACGCTAAAATGCGGATTAGTGAGTACGGAGTTTTCCCCATTTAAATAACGTGGTTTCATCTCTTGATCCCTCGTTTGTTCCTTCTTCTTCTTCACCTGGGAGCCTTCTCTTGTTTCCTCCTTTTCGACCTCACTGCCTATGCTCACGAAATCGATTCGGTAAGCTTCTCTTTCCCTTGTGCAGATCTATGCCCACTCCTCTTCCTCTTCCCAATCCCTATCTTCCCGCATTTTTCTTCTCCCCTCCCCTTCTTTTGCTGTTTTCTATGCTCCAATTTGTCGTTTCCTTATTGGAGGCAGCTGCGTTTTTTGGTCATTTCTTGAATGGTTTCATGCTAGGGGTTTCTTCTTCGTGTGTGACTGGATTTTGGTTTTTAATCGCGATTTTCTATATGTGTGTGTGTGTGTTAATCGATGCTGTTGTTGATTCCAAATTGGCAATCGGAAATTCTGCTCAACTTAATGGATGCCGCATGCTCCGTCGTGTTTTTTTTTTTTTTTTTTTTTTTT